GGGGGGGGGGCCTGGGTACAGACGCGTGACGTCACGGCGGGCACGTGAGCCCACGGCGGGCACGTGACCCGCGCGGGGAGGGGGCGTGGCCGCGGCGGGTCCAAGATGGCGGCGGCGCTGTGGGCGCTGCTCGCGGCCCTGGCGGGGTCGGTGCCGGGCCCGGGGCCCGCGGGGGCCGCGCAGGTCCCGCTGCTCGTCTGGAGCACGGAGCGGTGCGAGCGGGGCCCGGCGGCTCCGGGGGCGGCCCGGGGGTCGGGCGTGGGGGGATGCTGGGGGAGCTCGGGGCCTGTTCGCGGAGATTTGGGGGGCGCTGAGAGGCCTCAGAGGCTCCTTTGGGGGGGCTCAGGCGCCTTTGGAGGGGATTTGGGGTCTCTTCAGGGGCTGTGGGGTCCCCGGGTGATTTTGGGTCCTCTCTGGAGGGGATTTTGGGGTCTCTGTGGGTGATTTTTGGGGCTCCCCGGGTGATTTTTGGGGCTGCCCGGTGATCTGGGCTCCGTTCCCCGCAGGGCTCTGTGGCCCCCGCTGGCCGCCCCCGCGGGCCGGGTTCTGTCGGAGCCGGAGCTGCAGCAGCTCCTGGAGCCGGGGCTGCAGCGCGGGCCCCGCACGGTGCTGCTGTTCCTGCAGGACCAGGTGGGACCCCAAATCCCCCCCGAATCCCCCCCAAATCCACCCCCCAGTGCTGCTGTTCCTGCAGGACCAGGTGGGACCCCCCAGACCCCTCCCAAGGACCCCCAAAATCCCCTGAGAAACCCCAAAGGGCCCCGTTCCCCTCCCCCACTGACCCCCCGCCCCTCCCCCAGCTCAGCCTGGAGGATTTCACCGCTTTTGGGGGCGTTTTTGGGAATGAACCCAACGGAGCCTTCCCCCGGCTGCAGGTGGGCCAGGGGATTTGGGGGGCTGGGGGGGAGGGGTCCTGGGGAGGATTTCTGGGGGCCTGGGGGTGTCCAGGGGGGGCTTGGGGAGTCGGTTTGGATTGGGAGGGAAATTTGGGGGCGATTTTGGGGTTTTTGGGGTGGTTTTGGGGTTTTTGGGAGGATTTTAGGGTGTCTTCAGGGGGATTTTGGGTGGGATTTTGGGTGGGGTTGGGGTGATTTGGGGGGGATTTTGGGGTGTTTTTGGGGTATTTCACGAGTCTCCGTTTCAGGGTGCCCTGGGCTCGGCGGGGTCGGCGCTGACCCTGCCCTCGGTGGCCGGAGCCGCTGCGGCCGCGCTGCCGCTGACCCTGCAGAGGGCCCTGGGCGCCCCTCCCCCCCTGCGCCTGCCCGGGGGGGCCCTGGGGGGGCT